ATCATCAAGTGGATACACGTTCTTCTCAGCAGCACATGGATCCTACTCAAAGATAGACCATATATTATGCCATAGAGCAACTCTTAGTAAATATAAAGTCATGGAGAAAACATCATGCACCATATCTGATTATAATGGAATGAAACTGGAAATCAATGATAAAAGAAGGAAGGAAAAATCCTACATCACATGGAAAATGAACAATATGTTACTGAATGATCAATGGGTTACAGAAGACATAAAGGAAGAGATAAAAAAATTCTTAGAGACAAATGACAATACAGGCACAACATACTGGAATCCATGGGACACAATGAAAGCAGGTTTAAGAGGGAAATTCATTTTTGGAAGTTCTTTCCTCAAAAAAAGAATCAACAAATAAATGAACTCACACTACACCTCAAAAACCTAGAAAAAAAGAGCAAAACAGCAGCAAATGTAATAGAAGACAATAAATAATTAAAATCAGAGCAGAAATCAACGAAATTGAAACAAAAAAAACATTGAAAAAATTGAAAAAAACTAAAATTTGGGTCTTTGAAAAAATAAATAAGATCGACAGGCCCTTAGCCATGCTAAATAAGAGAAGAAGAGAGAGAGAACTCAAATTACTAACATACGGGATGAAAAAGGCAATATCACAACAGATGCTACAGAAATACAGAAGATAGAGTATTTTGAAACCCTATATTCCAATAAAATAGAAGATAATGAAGATATCGATAAATTTCTTAAGTCATACGATCTGCCCAGATTGAGGCAGGAAGAAACACACAATTTAAACAGACCAATAACAAAGGAAGGAAATAGAAGAAGCCATCAAAAGACTACCAACCAAAAAAACGCCCTGTACCTAATGGGTATACAGCAGAATTCTATAAAATCTTCAAAGAAGAATTAATATAAATACTTTTCAAGCTATTTCAAGAAATAGAAAAAGAAGGAGTTTTTCCAAATTTATTCTATGAGGCCAACATCACCCTGATCCTGAAACCAGACAAAGACACTTCAAAGAAAGAAAACTACAGAACAATATCTCTAATGAACTTGGATGCAAAAATTCTCAATAAAATCCTGGTGAATCAAATACAAAAACATATCAAAGAAATTTTTCACCATGATCAAGTAGGATTCATCCCTGGGATGCAAGGCTGGTTCAATATACAGAAATCAATAAATGTTATTCACCACATCAATAGACTTAAAGATAAGAACCATATGATCATCTCAATAGATGCAGAAAAAGCATTTGACAAACTACAGCATCCCTTTATGTTCAAAACTCTAGAAAAACTAGGGATAACAGGAACTTACCTCAACATGGTAAAAGCTATATATGCTAAACCTCAAGCTAGCATCATCCTAAATGGAGAAAAACTGAAGGCATTCCCTCTAAAATCTGGAACAAGACAGGGATGCCCTCTATTACCACTTCTATTCAATATAGTTCTCGAAATACTAGCCAGAGCAATTAGACAGACAAAAGAAATTAAAGGCATAAAAATAGGAAAAGAAGAACTTAAATTATCACTATTGTGGATGACATGAAAATACATTTAACAGACCCAAAAGGGTCTACAAAGAAACTACTAGAGTTAATAAATGAATTCAGCACAGTGGCAAGATATAAAATTAACACACATAAATCAAAGGCATTCCTGTATATCAGCAACAAAACTTCTGAAATGGAAATGAGGAAAACCACTCCATTCACAATATCCTCAAAGAAAATAAGATAGTTGGGAACAACCTAACAAAAGAGGTGAAAGATTTATACAATGAAAACTACAAAACCCTAAATTGAGAGATAGAAGAAGATCTTAGAAGATGGAAAAATGTACCTTGTTCATGGATAGACAGAACTAACATTATCAAAATTGCGATATTACCCAAAGTTCTCCACAGGTTTAATGTGATGCCAATCAAAATTCCAATGGCAATTCTTGTAGAAATAGATAAAGCAATCATGAAATTCATATGGAAAAACAAAAGACCCAGAATAGCAAAAGCAATTCTAAGCAGGAAGTATGAATCTGGAGGTATAGTGATACCAGAGTTCAAACTGTACTACAAAGCAATAGTAACAAAAACAGCATGGTACTGGTACCAAAACAGGCAGGTGGACCAATGATACAGAATAGAGGACACAGAGACCAACCCACAAAATTACAAATTTCTTATATTTGATAAAAGGGCTAGAAGCATGCAATGGAGGAAGGATAGCATCTTCAACAAATGGTGCTGGGAAAATTGGAAATCCATATGCAACAAAATGAAACTGAATCCCTTTCTCTCGCCATGCACAAAAGTTAACTGAAAATGGATCAAGGAGCTTGATATCAAATCAGAGACACTGCATCTGATAGAAGAAAAAGTTGGCTACGATCTACATACTGTGGGGTCAGGCTCCAAATTCCTTAATAGGATTCCCATAGCCCAAGAGTTAATAACAAGAATCAACAAATGGGACTTACTTAAACTAAAAAGTTTTTTTCTCAGCAAGAGGAACAATAAGAGAGGTAAATAGAGAGCCTACATCCTGGGAACAAATTTTTACCCCTCACACTTCAGATAGAGTCTTAATATACCGAATATACAAAGAACTCAAAAAATTAAACAATAAGATAACAAATAACCCAATCAACAAATGGGCCAAGGACCTGAACAGACACTTCACAGAGAAGTACATAGAATCAATCAACAAGTACATGAAAAAATGCTCACCATCTCTAGCAGTCAGAGAAATGCAAGTGAAAACCACCCTAAGATACCATCTTACTCCAGTAAAATTGGCAGCCTTTATGAAGTCCAACAACAATAAGTGTTGGCAAGGATGTGGGGAAAAGGGTACACTTGTACACTGCTGGTCGGATTGCAAATTGGTGATTGCAAAGCAGTATGGAGATTCCTGGGAAAGCTGGGAATGGATCCCCCATTTGACCCAGCTATCGTCCTTCTTGTACTATTCCCTGAGGATCTTAAAATAGCGTATTATAGGGATACTGCCACATCAATGATCATAGCGGCACAATTCACAATAGCTAGACTGTGAAACCAACCTAGATGCCCTTCAATAGATAAATGGATAAAAAAATGTGGCATCTATACACAATGGAGTATTATGCAGCACTAAAAAATGACAAAATCATAGAATTTGCAGGGAAATGGATGGCATTAGAACAGATTATGCTAAGCGAAGCTAGCGAATCCTTAAAAAAAAATGCCAAATGTCTTCCTTGATATAAAGAGAGCAACTAAGAACAGAACAGGGAGGAAGAGTGTGAGGAAAAGATTAACATTAAAGAGAGATGAGTGGGGGGAGAGAAAGGGAGAGAGAAGGGAAAGCATATGGAAATGGTAGGAGACCCTCAATGTTACACAAAATTACATATAAGAGGTTGTGAGGGGAAAGGGGGGGAAACAAGGAAGAGAATTGAAAAACAGCAGATGAGGTAGAGAGGAAAGATGAGAGGGGAGGGGAGGGGGGATAGTAGAGGAAAGGAATGGTAGCAGAATACAACAGTCACTAATGTGCCATTATGTAAAAACGTGAGTGTGCAACCAATGTGATTCTGCAATTTGTATTTGGGGTAGAAATGGGAGTTCATAACCCAATTGAGTCAAATGTATGAAAGATGATATATCATGAGCTTTGTAATGTTTTGAACAACCAATAAAAAAAAGAAAAAAGGTAAATTGAGTTTTATGTGTCTTTAATCTTATCTCACTAGTTAACTTCTATGTTTTGAACCTCTAGTATGAAGCTAGTGTGCTGGTTGCGTGCCGGGGTGGGGGGGATGAAGCCAGAAATAGATAGACAGTGTAGATAGGTAAATCGAATCAGGTTGGGTCTAGGAGGCCAATTTTGAATGAGTCTGAGAAGTTGAAGACTGTCTCCTGAGGGTTACTGTTTACTCTACCAAGATGTAGGGCCTGCCCAAATAGATCCTCAATTGAGGGAACCATGATTGGTTCCCAAGTTTCCAGACAAAGAGGGGAATGAGAAACTGATATGACTCCATTTTTGGGAAACCAGCCTCTACCTCAGAGCAAAGCCTGTCCAAAGAAGTGGGTGTGACCCTTGTCCTTGGAAAAACCCAGAGTACTCCTAGGCACATACCCACCCTGCTGAGTTGTTTGTTTACATATAACAAGAGAGATCTGTGGTGCCAGGTGTTCCTAACTCAGTTAGGCTAGGTGAGGACCCAAAGCAACCCCTAGCAACCACCAATCAGCATGAGACAGGGAAAATACCTGGGATGCTAGATGACCTTCCCAGTAGTTTATGGTGGTTGATAACATGTTGAGAAACTATGTAGTTTTGCACGTACATCCCTCATGGCTTAAACCAATCATTTCAAAGGAATCCCCCTCTTGTACTAACCAATCACTCCTACCAAACTTTTTCCCACCAGTGAATGTGCTAATCACTGTTAAGAGTTGTTGTTTGACTTTCCCATGGTATAGAATGATTTGCTGTGTGATGTTGTGGTGTATAGAGTATTGCCCCAAAATCTGTAAAATCTCACTAGACAAAGGACTGGGACTCATTTCCTGGGACCACTGCATCAGAAACTGTTGTGAGTCCAGGCTCAAGCTTGCAATAAAGACTCTTGTATGATTGCATTGGATTCAGCTCCAGGAGGTCTATTGGGGTCCCACGAATCTGGCATTATAATAGCATCTGCAGGCTCACTGAAGTTGTAATCCTTTGGGAGTTACCTCTTCTAGGCTTGGGCAGGAATGACAATGCTTGTAATTATATATGTGAAGTATAGTAAATATAGTTAAAAATACATAACAGCAAAACATATATAATATAGTATATATTATATATGACTTATATAACATAATATATAAATATAAAAAATATAGTAAATATGGTTAATATAAAAACTGGAACTGGGAGAATATTTGCAATTATCCCCGTATTGAAACATCAGGAGAAGCAGAAAAATAAAAGCAGCAGGATTATTTCTCTTCCCCCAAGGCCTAGTCTCCAAGTTTGAATCTATCTGCATGTTTCCATGTTTTACTCAGTCAAAGATTCATATAAAAGATACAGAGAGCTTGATCTGTGCTGCTACCTGCTCTCTGGTATCCTAGACTGAGAATCCCTGCCATCTCTGCAACTCTGACTTCTCTGTTTCCTCAGGTCTTTAAGATCCTCAGGATCAGCAGGAGCAAGAAAATGCCACCAGGAAGAAATCTTTGACCTCTTGTGTTGAAGTGGCACCCCCTTTCTCCACTTAAAATTCTTAACTGGGCCTCTCCAGAAATCTTCACCCAGACTGATTTTAGGACTGTCACCAAAAGAGTTTCTGCAAGAGAGTTGAACGTAGATAAACTTTCTATTTTCATGTTGCCCTGTTTACTTGGTCACTGGTGGAGAATATACCAGCACTGCAGGTGCTGGACACCCCCTTACTAGTTTTTCACAAACATATCCAGTATAGTACTTTGAAGAAATGTGAAGACAAGGCCCCTGGCCTTGAGTTGGGTTTCACAGAGATGTCTATATTTTTAAGATAAGAGAAGTTACCAACTGAGTTCCATGGTAACAGCTGGCAGGGGAGAATAGAAAGGGGAGAAGAAACTCTCTCCTTCTCGGGTGTTGTCCTTGAAGTGTTAACATGCCAAGAACAGTGAAAGAAAAAGCTGCTTTTATGTGAGCTTTTGCAGACTGTGAACTTCTTAGCCCCTCCTCTTACATGCTGGGTATAAAACTGTGAAACTCCCTGAACTCAGGGTTCAGGGGATTAATTGATTACAGCAAAAGCTGTGCTCTCTGAACCTGGCTGCAGCCAAATAAAATTGTTTCCTGCTATCTTTGGTGCCTTGTCTCATTTGTCCCTAAAACAGTGTGATCATTGGTGTGCAACTTGAGGCTTCTGTATTTGTGCATGAGTTTTTGTGTTTGTGTATTTATGCATACGAGCTTTTTCTGAGGTCACATAGCCTTTACCTTCTAGTTTTTCAATGTTGTGTTCTTGTTGGGTATGTGGGAGACTCCCTGCTGAAGTTAAATTTCTGTCTCACAAAAATATAATGGAATCCCTTACCCTTCCTCTCCTCTTCTGCAAGCTCATGCTCTCTGCCTTCCTCCTATCTGCCCTCTTCCTCTTCTTTCTCTCCTCTCTCTACTCTCTTTCTCTCTGCCCTCCTCTCATCTCTCTGTCTCTCCTTTTCTTCACCTTCAGGCAGCCCCCCCCCCCCAATAAATATCTTGGTTGAATCTCCATCTTGGTTGGGTCACTTGCCTTTCAGTTTTGAAAAACAGTTGTTTCATTGTGTTGTTCTATCCCAGAGTGAAATTACTTTTGTCTTTGCTTCAAGGTACAATGTCCTGAGCTCCTTTCCTCTGCATACACTGCTGTCATGATGTTCTTTTTTACTTCTAGCCCAGAGCAATTGAGTTGGCCATCTGTGGACTGAGACTTCAGGAATCATGAAACTCAAATAAATTTTCACCCTCTAAAATTGTTCTTTTCAGATATTTTGCTTGCAATTTCAAAAAAGGTGATTAAAACAAATAGTACTGACAATCACACAACTTTGTAAATGCCCTAAAATCTTGAATATATTCTTTGATCATGTTACCGCTCTTTACAGGTGACTAGTCCTTGCTTCCCCAAATGCTGAAGTATAATACCAGAGAAGCACACGGAGGCAAGTGTAGAGTGGAAAGTAGAAGCTTTATTAAAGGACAGGAGAAAAGACTTCTCCTGAAGGAAGAAGGGGACCCAAAAAAAATTCGTGGAAGGGATTATATAGCTAAAGTCTACTTTCAGCTTTCCCACTTTCTTGTGGCATTCCTGTCCTTCATTCTCTGTTATCTTGCAGTGATGGAATGTAGGTGGGGAGGCCCAAATGGTGGGGGACAGGTGAGCTGTAGGAGTAATCTAGGCCAGAAGGGCTTTTGGATTAGCATCTCCATGTTTGCTGGGAGCTGCTTCATTAACATTTCCTTGGGATGTGCTCTGTGCCTTGAGGACATTAACATTTCAATTCCCCCAAGTGCTGTTCCTAGATTTCATTCTCAATAATAGCCTTCATTTTATACATTTTACTCAATATGAGACCCTATTTACCTAACTACAATAACTAACTATCTTTAAATCTGACTTCAATCAGGTGCACTTTATGGTACATTTTGTGATAGTAAAGCTGTTTTAAAAACTGTTAGACCCAACCTGATCTTTTATTAAATTGCAAGCTCATGGGAGCCATCTTGCCACAAAGCCATGAAAAGCTAATTTCGGCTTTACTATAAATTACTGCAAACTCTGAACCTGCTTGGAATGCCTGCCCGTGCCTTGAACTTCACCCATGCCTGGCTCTCTGACCAGATAGCAGCCCTCTCTGAAACTTTAGTGACACCCCATAAATACTGGCCAGACAACGACCCTCTCTGAGGCTCTAATGGTCTTCATAAATTCTGATGTTGGGGCCAGCAAAAAATGTAAACTACCATTAGTGTGATGCTTGTCAGAGTTCTGTTATCTGTAACCCCCCCTTTTGTGTAACTTTCTGGGCTATAAAGCTGGGCTGTAGAAAAAGTGGGGCTGCTGTCTTGTTCCCACCATTTTGGGAGGAAAAGGCAGTGTGGCCGGTCGAAATAATAAGCTTGCTTTAATTTGATTTTAATTGGAGTCAGTGGTCTTTTCTTGCGTCCTGGTCTAACAAAACAACACAACAGTGATTAACAATGACTTTTAAAATTTGTTTGTTGTTACCAGGTATTGAACCTAGAGGTGCTTAACAATTAAGACATATCCTCAGCCCTTTTATTTATTTATTTTTTTAAGTTTGAGACAGGACCTCACAAAGTTTCTTAGGGCCTTGCTCAGTTGCTGAGACTAGCTTGGAACTTGCAACTAATTCTTCTGCCTCAGCCTTCTGAACTGCTGAGAATATAAGCATGAGCCACCATCCCTGGCCCAATGATGGACTCTTTCATTTGGGCTTATGCTGTTATGCTCGAATTTGGGACCCCCAAAGACCACTAGAGACCAAGATCGATGTAAGCACCAAAGAGGTATTTATCGCGAGCTAGCTGGGTCCTCCGTGCGCACACAGCAACTGATGACACTGAGAAGCTCTGAGCCCAGGGTTTGCAGCAGTTTTATACACACTTTGGGGAAGGCAGGGACTTCACATACATCATAGCATCTCTTAGAAAATCATCACACAGCACGGAAAAATCATAAAACAACTCTAAAACATGATTAGCACATTTGCTGGCTGGAACAAGTTGGGTAAGTGTGATTGGCTAGTACAAGAGGGGGATTTGTTTGAACTGATTGGTTTAAACCATGAGGGGAGTACATGCTAAACTATATAATTTCCCAACATTTTATCAACTACCATAAACTACTGAGGGGTAATCTGGTATCCCAGGTATTTTCCCTGTCTCATGCTGATTGATGGTTGCTAGAAGGTTGCTATGAGTCCCCATTTAGCATGACTGAGTCAAGGACATCTGGCACAGCAGATCTCTCCTGTTATTTGTAGATTAACAACTCAGCAGGGTGGGTATATGCCTAGGAGTGCTTTCCAAAGACAAGGGTCAGGCTCCCTTCCTTGGACAGGCTTTTCTCTGAGGTAGAGGCTGGTTTTTTCAATGCTATGAGAGTCATACCTTGCAAGTGCAGTGTGCAACAGTCACCCTCTTTCTCATAGTGATTCCATGGGTTATTGTTGACAAGTCCTGCTTCCCCAAGTATTGAAGTTTGAACGTTAGAGAAGCACACCAAGAAAGAATATAAAGCAAGTTTTATTTAAAAAGGTGTAACATAGACTTCTCTTGTGAGGGAGAAGGGGGCCATAGCTGGTATCCTGGTATCCCAAGAGGTGAGGTGTTCTGCTCTTTTATATGTCCTAGGATTCATTTGTTCTCCTGTCTTTTCCCCCTTATCTTTCTCCTTTCTGCATATGTGACTAGGCCCAGCAATGCTAGGTGGGAGGGCCAAACGGTGGGAATCTGGAAAGGGGAGAAGGGAAGGGTGGAGTAGCCAAAGACATTAACAACCTTATACCTCCCTGTAGGGAGGGAAAAATTCTGGGACAGGTTACCTTGGCAACAGATTGGAGCAGGGGCAGGTTCTTGGTATAATTCCTCAGGACACAGTCTCCAACTTCCCAGACTCATTCAAAATTGGCAGGTTCTTCATAAGATCCCTCAGGGGACAGTCTCCAACTTCCCAAACTCACTCAAAATTGGCATCCTTGATCCCACCTGACTCAATTTACTTATCTACCCTGACTGCCTATCTAATTCTGGCATCAATAGAATGGTCAGCCTCTCATGAGGGCAAGGGCAGGTTTTTGTCTCAGTTTCCCATGCATCTGAAGCACTGTGTGAGCATTGAGGCTTTTGTCCCATGCTTCACAGTAATAATTGGCCTCATCCTCCTCTTGGAGCCCAGTGATGGTCAGGGTGGCTGTGTTGCCAGAATGGGAGCCGGAGAAGCGATCAGAGATTCCTGAAGGCCTAGTAGTTCCAAGCATCACAGTTTTGGGGGCAGAACCTAGAATCTGTTGATACCAGCCTGTATAATAAGTTCCAACATTGTTGCTATTTCCAGTGCAGGAGAGAGTGACCTTCTCCCCTTTAGATGCTGACATTGAAGATTCTTGGATCAACTCAGAGTGTACCTGGGACCCTGGAACAGAAAAAGTAGGAGCATAAAGAGATGAACCTGGGGTTACTACCTGTACTGTTTACCCCCAAAAGGAAAAGATGGACCCAAGTTGTCCCACCATCCCTTTTGCTTTCTATAGCAAGTCACCTGAACAGAGAGTGAGGAGGGTGAGAAGGAGATGGGTCCAGACCATGGTGGAGATGCTCCAGGATCTGCTTCCCCACATACAGCTGAGCAGAACTGCTCACAGTCTCTTATTTTTGTCCCTTATGTGAGTATGGAAAAGAAACTCTTCATGCAAATCATCTCCCTCCCCCTGATACTTCTGAGCCCAAGTGTGGTGAAAGCCAAGTATAGAGTGGTGCCTCTCCTGAGATCCCAGAGGACAGAGCTGCTGGGGCCACAGACCACAGAGCAAAGGGCATAGTACAGAACTTCAGGGGTTGGCTTCCCAGCTGAGACCTCACAAGGCCATCAGGTGCCAGGGTTTATTCAACCGGGTTGAATGTTCTGGTATTTTCTAGAGATACCCCAGAACCCAGCATTGCTCTGCACTTATCAGTACCCACAGAGGGGTAGAGTGTTATATAATCTAAGGGCTCCTTATTGTGCTGGTAGGTGCTAATTAAATTTCAAAAACATGCCTTCCTCAGAAGATAACTAAGAAAAATGACATCAAACTGTCCTTTGACTATTCAGATTATCCTGTGATTGGAGCAACAGGTGAGTGAACCTCAGAAGGAACATATCTTGCTCTCAAGCAAAACAGCAGGGACCATTAAGAATCCCTCCATGACTTCTCTATGGGCCAAATGGAATCTGTTGTCTCTCTCTCTCATCACATACCTCATTCCACGATGGCAGGCCAATCTCCTTAGCCCATTTCACTGTATCATAGTCACACTAGATGAAACAGTGTTCATGAATAAAAACACAAAGAGGGCTCCTCAAGAAAATTTATTTATTATTATAGACAGAAAATGCTTCTGATTCTATCCTCTTCCATCTGGGAAGGTGATGGAGGATACAAGCTTCCCAGGAGGCATTCCATAGTCAGAGCCTCAGGGTGGAATCCAGGGCCCATGGTCTCCCTTATCATATGGGTCATGCACATCAGGGTGGAGTGAAACTTGCACAAGTGGAGAAGGGCTGAAGTTGTAAAGAAAGATAAAGAGATTTCCCAGAATTTTCCCAGTCTCTCTGAGCTCTGTGTCATAGTTTCATATTATTTTTGACTAGTCAACAGATCTTCTGTAGCTCTTACTCTGTGTCTGATAGTTTTCAACTCACATTAAAGATACTAATATCATTACTGCCTCTAGTGACCTAATCCACAACTGATATTGTATGATAATCATATGAATAAACATACATATGCTTATGTATATATCTATACCTATGTATATGAATATATCATTTTTCATTAGAATTAGTTTCACCAAAATTGCTAGCACAGTATCTCATGGTCCAGTTTGATAAACCCAGAGATGCCTGTGCCTTGAATTTTTTTCTATCATTGAAACCCTCATTCTCTGGAGAATCAGCCACCTTAATGGACTAAGACAGTAGGGGAGGAGCAGAAGGGAGTCAAGGCTAATTCAGGATGGACCAACCTGAGACTCTGGAGTCCTCCTCAGAGTATTTTGTTTCACTGTATTTTTTGAAGTCAGGATAAAGGCCACACTGTATCAGGGCATGGAAAGTTGGACAGTGAAGGTGCTCTTGATAAGCCATTTCTATAAATCCATCAGCACATCACATGTGTAGAGAAAGGGTGAGATTGAAGCCAGACCAGGACAGAGTGTACCCAGAGTCAACTTCCTGAAATTCTAGAGTATGGACATAGCTACATCATCTCTGATTCTCTCTCAACCTTTGTGCTGAAAGTTATTCTTATTTGAGCATGTCAATAATTCCTGAGCATCTCTGATAGACCCAGTCTGGTTCCCTCTTAAAATTGGGAACCATCTCACCACAAAGCCATGAAAAGCTAATTTCAGCTTTACTATAAATTACTGAAAATTCTGAACTTGCTTAGAATGCCTGCCATTGCCTTGAACTCACCCATATAGCAGCTCTCTCTCTCTGAAACTTTAGTAATGCCTCATAAATCTTGGCCTTCCCTGGCCAGATAATGACCCTCTTTGAGGCTGTAATGACCTTCATGAATTCTGATGTCAGGGCCAGCAAAAATGTAAACCAGCCTTTGTTTTATGCTAGTCAGAGTTTTGTTATCTGTACCCCCCCTCCCCGTTTTGTAACTTTCTGGACTATAAATATGGGCTACAAGAAAGATGCAGTGCTGTCTTGTTCCCACAGTTTTTGTTGGGAGAGGCAGCCCGGCCAGTTGAAATAATAAGCTTGCTTTAATTTGATTTTAATTGGAGTCATTTTTTTTCTTGTGTCCTGGTCTAACAGTCTCCAGCTACATTGAAGTACCAGTATGAGAAGCAGATATTTTAAGGTACAGAGGAGTTGATATTTTTGTAGAGCCTGACTGAGTGGGGTGAAATACTGATGCTATAGGTCACCTGTGCTCAATGAAAGATCATAGCCATAGTCATAGCACATCATGGAGGAGATTCTGTTAGCTCAGCATCCCTGATTTCATAGAGAGCCACTTCTTCTGCGTTTCCAGAAGAAAAGGTGTCTCCATTGAGTATGTTAATTAGATTTCCATTGCTGTGCCAAATAACTACAAATAAAGGAAGACATAAGGAAAAAAGGTATATTCTAGCCTACAGATTCATAGCCTTCAGTCTGTAACATCAGATTCATGGAACCCCAATAGACCTCCAGGAGCTAAATCGGATGCAATCACGCAAGAATCTTCCCAATGCAGCAGTCCCAGGGAATGAGTCCCAGTCCTTTGTCCAGTGAGATCTTACAGATTTTGGGGGAATATTGTATGCATCACAACATCACACAGCAAATCATTCCATATCACACGGGAAAGTCAAACAACAACTCTTAACATTGATTAGCACATTCACTGGTGGGAAAAAGTTGGGTAGGGGTGATTGGTTAGTACAAAAGGGGGATTCCTTTGAAATGATTGGTTTAAGCCATGAGGGATGTATGTGCTAAACTGCATGGTTTCCCAACATGTTATCAACCACCATAAACTACTGGGGGGTCATCTGGCATTCCAGGTATTTTCCCTGTCTCATGTTGATTGATGGTTGCTAGGGGGTCACTATGGGTCTTTACCTAGCCTAACTGAGTCAGGGATACCTGATGATGCAGATCTCTCCTGTTATTTGTAGACAAACAACTGAGAAGTGTGGGTATGTGCCTAGGAGTGCTCTGTGGGTTTTTCCAAGGACAAGGGTCATGCTTCCTTCCTTGGACAGGCTTTGCTCTGAGGTAGAGGCTGGTTTCTCAAAAATGGAGTTACATCAGTTTCTCAAGTCCATATCACTTGAGTCTAAGGTGGCATATGATATCATGGTAGAATGCATAGTGGCGAAGTTCTGTTTACTTCATGGCTGGTCTGAAGCAAAGAAGGAGAGGAGAGAGGCCAAAGTTCTAATATCCTGTTCAAGGGAACACCCCAAATAACCTAATTTTCTTGGAAAGACCTCACATCCTAAGAGTTTCACCACCTCAGAGCACCTCTTGCTGCAGACCAATCCTTTAACAACTGGGTTTTTGGAAGAGTTTTTTCAGATTCAAATCAATACTAGCTGGAACTAGCATATGAAGAGAAGGCAACATCACTCTTGGAGCTAATAAGTGGGGATGGATTTGAGGCAGATTGAACCTGTGACTGATGAAGTGCTCTCAGATCATACAAGTCTATATGTCAGGCCTAGATGCTGCATTGGACACAGCTGAAATAAAACAGCCCATAGAAGTGACTTATGCCATTAAAAAAAGTCAAGGTAAGGAGAAATTACTTGTAATATATGAAACTAAGATTTTCCCTAAAAAAGAGAAGGGATTTCCATATTTTTAATTATTGAAGACTGTATTGCCTGCCTCTCCCCAAAAGTTAAGAAGTCACTACCTAGTTTAGACTTAGTCTCAAAGAATGCCCCTATGAGAGCACAAGTCAGGGAGAAAACAAAGGGAAGTTTTAATCTCAGTTCCTCCTTGATCTGGAGCACTGAGCAAGTGCCACTGTTAGTATGAAGCATTAGACAGTAATAATCAGCTTCGTCTTCTTGCTGAAGGTCAGAGATGAGTAAAACTCCTGCATTGGCTGAGGCATCCTTAGATCATGTATGTTTCCATTAAGACTCCATGCAGGGGCTGGGGCTGTAGCTCAGTGGTACAGCACCTGCCTCAAATGTGTGAGGCACTGGGTTAGATCCTCAGCACCACATTATATATATATATATATATATATATATATATATATATAAAACAAAAAAATACTCCATGCCTATTGACAGGTATTTTTGTGTTCAGCACTGGGCTTAGCTCTCTATCACTAATACTAATAGTATCTCTGTTCTTGAGGGGTTTGCTTTTTCAAATGAATAGCCCACAAGGAATGAATAAGACAGTGAATGTATAATTTTTCATAAAAGAGGATGGCAGTCACTACCATGGACATTTAAAGGAAAATTTTTAGAGAATGAACTTTTTGTTCACATGCTATTAAATTAGTCATTCTGTCAAGAGGAAATAGGCTGAGTAGGAGCCTCAGTCAGTTTGAAATGATATAAAAATATGCTGTATTATGTGTATTATTAAAATGGAATTACACATCACACAATCTGGAAAGTAGGAAACCCAAAGTTGGCAGACTCTGTGTGGGACAAGGGTCTACTCTATAGATAGCCATCTACAGAAGGGGTGGAGGATCTTTTTTCATAAGGTACTCCTCACCTGATCACTTCCCTATGGCTCCTTGTCTTAATACCTTCATTTTGGAAATTAGGATTCCATTCTATGAATTTGGGGGAGACATACACATTAGTCCACTTAGGTAGAAGTAAAGCCATGACCAACAGATATAAGGGAATGAGGACACAAAGTCCTGGCCAGGCTGGCCAAGGAATGACACCAGGACTTCCTGGGTCAGGCCAGGCCATGTGCAGAACCCTAAAGAAAGAAAGAAAAAAAGACATAGCAAGGTAGGTGTGAGGTTTCATCTGCAAACAAGACACCAAGGAAAAGGGAGTCCTCTAACTCCTTATGTGATCAGGTTGCCAGACTGTGAAAATCCAGGAATCTGTATGAAGA